ACACAAAACAATAATGTGGTTCTTTTCAGTTTGGCTACAAACTTTCCCAGTCCATACAGACTTCTCTAAAGCAACAACATGCTCTCTTCTCATCAGACAGAGCACTTCTTAAACCTAAGGGTTAGCCAGCTGTTTATTAATGGGTTTGGACAGTGCTAGCTTGTTGACAAGCTAATGCTACCCTGTGAAACGGACTTTAGGGGCATTTCCATCCATCTGTTTTAGTGTGCATTTTAATTTGCGCATGAATAAACCTGAGTGGAGACGGCAAGAAATTCAAATCACATGTTTTAGGAGGAGGTGGAAAAGTATGCGTATTGATAAAATGTAAATGCAACTAAGTGCAATTGAAAACAGACTGAACAAAAAATACTAACGTATTATCATGACTCACTGTCACTGCATACTGCAACCTCTCTGCGTCTTCTCCGAATGGCTTTTAACAGCCTGTTACTGAAACTTTTCTAAAGAGAACAGAACTGTAATATTAGTTATTAAAAACTCTCTGTTTCCATTGTCCAGTGTGCTCTCTGTTATCATACATCCGTTATTTTCCTTCATTTCAGGTCTGACTGGTGCTTTTTTGATATTGTCACCTGCAGTTGCACCTGACTGGAAAATAGATGCCACCTACTGAACCAACTCCCAGTATTTGCATAACAATTGTGGATGGAAAAGCACATAAATTCACAATTCCCTCTGCTGATTCTCTGAAAATTGAGTTAAAATTTGCATGACATTTAACCCATTTCCAGCCCAGTATCCAAAGTAAGAATATTAAAAGTTGGACGATTTCTCAGTGCATCACTTATGTCCACTATCAGCTTTCAGTGGCAGTGCAGGGAGATGTGAGCCCTGTATCTACTGGTGACACAGAAAGTATGGGTGTGGAAGTCAAAGTTCACGTTCCATCATAGTCCATCAGTTCATTATCTTCACTGTAACCATGATTATTCCCTAACCTTGACCAGGCCATGGTTGACATGAGTAGATAATGTTGAAATAAATTATCTCTTTAAATGTTTGCGGTCAATGTCCTTTCTAGCATGAAAGTCAAAAACTTTGGTCTGACATGCATTAAATTTGCAGTTCATCTATTGGCCACTAGGTGATGATGTCAGCAAAACTCAGTCAAATTTTAACTGAATGTCCAGAAGTTCGGCACAAAATGCAAATTAAAGCATCTTTCCATCCACAATATAAATATTAGGAGGTGGATACATCGAGATAAACAGTTGATGTAGTCCGTCAAAGCCTGGTCTCACTCCGGAGTCCTCTGGCACTTGGATAGTGACTTGTGGCGTCAGGAACCAGCAGAAAAAGGCATCCTTTAATGTCGGCATGATACGCAGCCGTTTGCCTTTACAGTTTAATGGCACCCTGCAGCGTTAGGGGGAAACGCGGAGGGACAAGGACGAATGTTAATGCAGCAAAAGTCTGAGTGGAGCAGGCAGGAGGGGTGGTGGATGGATCCAGCAAACACAGGCTTTAACCTGAGAGAGAGGTGTTCACGTCCCGTAAGATTCTAAAGCCAAACCCTGTTCCATGTGTGTTTGCTGTTGAAGGAAAAAAAAAACGTCAATTTGCAGTGTTGTACCAACGTAGTGCATTTATTTTGAAAGAGACTGTATGTAAACGTTAAATTTCCTGTGAAAACGGAAGTGTATTTTGAAAGAAGACAATGCATGTAACAGGCAGAACTTGACAAGGTGTCCCAGAACATCAGCAAATAAATTGAAATGATAAATATGGTGCTATGTCTTCACTCGGGTGCCAGTAAACCTTAACAGAGGAAAAAAGACAGTGACATGATGTAATTAAAGTAGCACTAGTCAAACCTCAAACGGATAAGAATAATGGGGAAACCATGATGTATGTATGTTTGTTTCATGTATTAATTAAAGGAGGGTTACAGTCTCCTCATCACTTGTTTTTGACTGCTCCCATTTTTTCCCAGTGGACCTGGAGGTTTGGTGGACGTTACATTCACATGCTTCATCATGATTTATTTACTAAGTTTCAATGTGTTAGTTGCATGTTGTTTTTAGCACTGCAATAACACTTCCATCTTGGCTAAACATAAAAGCTTTTTAGCAATATTTCAACTTTTAGGCGCAAATTCAAAATGTGCCTAAAATGGCTGGATGTAAATGCACTTTAGACTGTACTGATGTCTCTCTTTGCACCAGTTTTAAAGTTAGTACATTTTACCACAAGCGTCTTGGGCCTCAAAACTAATTTCACTTCTGATGTTTGTCTTGTTTATTTAAAAAAAAATGGTTGTTTAATGAGGAGATTAAAAAACTCAAAGTAAAGTATGCTTGTGGATGTGATGGCCTTGATTGACAGGTATCTCAGCTTATCACAGACAGCCGTGGCGGCTGCCAGTTGCTCCAGCTCAGCTCCACTCAGCCAACTCCTCCATTGCCCCCATTTGGATATTTTGACTGGAACTAAAAATGTCCCTGGACGTTAGAAATATTACCTCACTGTTTGTCTATCTGAGGAGCTGACTCTTCTCATGTTAACTACAGACTGCTGTGTCACAGTAACCTTCATTTAGAAACAAATGGCCTGTCAATTATATACAAAACATTTCAAAATGTACACACAGCACAGCAGTCCATCAGACAGGCTGGGTCTTGTTTGTCTGGACATTATTTATCAGGGACATTACATGTTAATTTATATCAGCGTGGTGTGAATGAAACAGGCTAAGCCAAAGAGCTCATTGTCATCTGACGTCTCTGAGCAGACTGATGTTGAAGCATCATTCATAACTCTTGTTTAATGAAGAATGTGGTGCATCATTTAACCTGTGTGATGTGGAAAAACATCTGGTGGCATTCACAGCTTGAAACAGCCAATGATAGTTTACTAAACTAAATTTAAAATTAATTTTTAGTTACTTTCAGACAGAAGAAAAAGCTCACACAGACATTCTGAATTTTGTTTATATGAAGAGAAAACCATATGGACAGTGTCGGAAGTGTTTCAGTGTGAAGATGCTTCATCATGGTTTTCCTCCTCTCTCATATTCTCCTCCTCTGTGTCTTTAGGCCATCTTAAGTTATGTCTGCAGGGTCGTGAACAAGGTCTCCAGCTTGTTTCTTGTGGGTCAGCCCTCACTGTAACATGATGGAGGTGGTACTGCAAGAAATGCTGAAGGAGGACAGCAGGAGTGCCTCAGACAAAACAAAGAAGAGCTAAAGAGTTGCTCTCTTTAATGACTGAAGTGACAGGTTAAATCAGCTTAAGAAACAAAATTATATTATTATATATGTATTTAGTAATTAAATAATGATCAGTTATTCTTATTATTTATAGAATTACCAAATTAGTTTGTCAGGCACATCATTTGATCATTAGTGGTGCAAGTTACTTATTTTAATTATAGATCTATTTATTTTTAAAACAAAACAAACCAAAAAAAAGCATTTTCATTTTTGGTATCAGTGGCTGTTATTTTTAAGGTGAACTAGTTAAATTTTTGCATTTAATTCAGCGCTTCAACACTGGTGGTAAAATATGATATTTGCATTAAATGAGCCGTTACCCTCCTTTCAACCAGGCAGCCGCAACACACACACACACAAAGAGAGAGAGAGAGAGAGAAAACAGACTTTTCAACGGGATTTTTTTGGACATTTATCATCGTAAGTAATAATGAATAATGACCAGAGAGCGCACGGAATTAAAGGGAAAATTGGTTTGGAGCTGTAATAGCCTAGTAATAATAATGATAATAGTAATAATAATTATAATAATAGATAATTTCGTTTATAATAATTTATAATGTTAATATATATAAATAAATGTGCTGTCAATAAAAAGAATAGGCTGTATATTTATTTAATTAACAAACAATGCCGCTTCACCGCTTCCTTTAAAATATGCCCGAGGTTTTTACAGGCCCTAATAAATCACTTTTTGTAAACGAATAATGCTCACTGGTATTTTTTAAAGGCAAATCACCAATACCAAATTTTAATCAGAAAAAATAAAAATGTAAATAAATGAAGAAAAAAGGAAGAAAAAAAAATAAGCGCAGGCCTCAAAGCCTAAATCCGCAAGATTTATCGTCACGCGGGCCGCTCACCTGCGACCGACAATTTATCTGACAATATTTTGAATCTGAGACCGTTAGCCTACCTTTTTTTCTACCCATCAAATAATACAGTTAAAATAAAATGACAATTAAACAGTCCAATGCGGCGGACAAGTTTGAGCCTGAGCACACTGCAGTTATTTTCCAGAGGGAGGCTGATGGATTTAATTTCATTGTCCTTCCCTTCACCAGTATTCCTGCGCGGGGCCTCGTGCTCACATTTGTGACTCCGTGCAGGTGAATTTCAGGGTTTACTCTTACAGGGTGGTTTCGAGACTGTCGGATTTTTTCGATTGCAAATGTCTTAAATTTGCTGATGTGATCGTTCTTCATTTAAAATGATGAGTCTGTGTTTGTGTGTGTGTGTGTGTGTGTGTGTGTGTGTGTGTGTGTGTGTGTGTGCGTGTGTGTGTGTGACCCCAAAAATCCAGCGAGGTGAAAAATATCACACACAGCAGTAAGGGGAGACTTATAGCTCTCTAACCTTTGGAAACAACAGAGCAGGTCATGTTTTTTTTTCAACAAGCTGGGAGAAATTTAATGATTTTTTTTCCATATTGCCCAAAATATAAAAATTATTTAGGGTTTTTATTTTTGTTTCAGTCACTGAGCTGAGGTCAACTGGGATTTATTTTCCTACAATTTTGTGTGTGTGTGTGTGTGTGTGTGTGTGTGCACTGTTCTGCATACAGTAAATGAATGAAGTCAGAGGGCTCCTGTCCCTCATCACCTTCTGACTCCACCTCCTACCCTCCTCAGACACACACACACACACACACACACACACACACACACACACACACACACATACACACAGGCTGGGAGTGTGGAGGGAAAAGAGGGCTACTCCTCCTCACTCCTCCACTCCTCTTTCTCCATTCACTGAGAAAGCTCTGAGCAGAAGCCTCTCTCCTCCTTGAATGGACTCCATCTCTCTGAGCCAAACACTCTTTTGCTGCTGCTGTGGGGGGACACAGTGAAGATCACAGCTGATCGCCGTGTTTCATTTGTTTTTGTTTTTTCTCCTTATGCTGCTGCTGCTGCCAAGAAAAGTTGACTGCTGCAACTTTGCTCTGTCGCCATGAGCTTTTGTCGGGCTTAAGGAGTTTCCAGATCAGCCGTGTGGTGTCGTAAACAGCTGATGGGCAAGAGCCGAAGCAGAGAAGACTTGAAAGAGAAGAAGCTGTGAGAGAAGGACTCCATAGAGTATCAGATATTTAGAGGGTGGTGGTTGATTTGGGTTTGGGTCAGTCTGACACACAGACAGGGAGGCAGACAGGTTGACAGATCAAATTTAAAAATAGCCTACCTTTGTCCTAGTGTATTCCCCTGGACCACAATGGGTTCAGATGTACGTGACCTGAACTCCCTGCTGCCCCCGCTCCCGGCGGGCCCCAGCCCTGGATGCCCGGCACTGCCCGTCAGCACAGCCCCTCAGTGGGCTCCCGTCCTGGACTTCCACACTGCCGCCTCCCCATACTCCTCCCTGACAGCCCCCCACACCTCCCTGGGGCCCCACTCCTTCATCAAGCAGGAGCCCAGTTGGGGGGCCACCGGCGACCCCCACCACCATGACACAGACCCTCACTGCGGCCTCAGCGCCTTCACCGTCCACTTCTCTGGGCAGTTTACGGGGACCGGGGCCTGTAGGTACGGGGCATTCGGGGCACCCCCACCTCCGCCAGCACCTCCGAGTCAACCGCCGTCTGTGACCGCCCCACACCACCACCAGCCCACCAGCAGGATGTTCAGCAACCCAACGTACTTGACCAACTGCATGGACACACAGCAGGCAGCCCGTAACCAGACAGGTAGGGCTGTGTGTGTGTGTGTGCGTTAGTCTGTCAATCACAAAGTGTAATCACTTATTTTGGAATCACTTTTCTTTCCAGAAGTTTTAAAGGAAGCTGATGAAATATGCCAGAAGTTTTGTCTCATCTGCACAGTTTCCTCCTGTTGCTCTTCTCCACACACACATCCCTTTCTAAAAGCTTCACTCTCTGAGCCACATGTGTTGACAACAACTTTTCCACAACAGGCAAATAAAATTAAATGGGAAAGCAGGATGAGTCATAATTAAATGTAACTCTATCAGTAAGTGCTGAGATGCAGCAGATTCACGTTACCCGTCTTTTCATTTGCAGAAGTTGACTCACATCAGTAGTATCATACCTGCTATGAAACATTATCTGACATCGTTAAACTGGTAGACGTTCATCCTAATTTCTCACTACATGACTGAGTCTGTGATAAACAAGGACATAACTGTTAAAACCTCATAAAGGTTGTTGAGAAATCCCATTAAGAAGCACAGGGACCGTTGTCCGGCTGTAGGGAAGTGATCCAGTTTATACACTCACAGAAAACACATGGTCCTTGTTTGTGTCCTAGACAGCAGTTTAAATCCAAGCATCACTCACAAAGAAGTCACTTTAGTGTTCAGGTATTAATGTTTCAGCCAAAGATGGGTGCTGCGTGTGAAAATGGCTCGCCATAGAGCCAGATCACAACTGACCCACTTTGTTTTAGAGTCACTGTGATGCTATTCGGGTTCATAACTCCACTTTTTCCTTGAGGTTCTTTTCAGGAATTAAAATTTGGTACGTGACACATTCGTGATTATTCACTCTTTGTCATTCATACAGTATATTTACCTTTGAAATTCATGCTTTGGCATTAAATATTCAAACAAGAGTTTTGGCAACATGGATTTGAGATATTTAATGCTCAGTATCCCAAAAGTGCACACCCACATAGATCTTTATATGAAACTCTTTTTTAATGATGGAGGGGAAAAGGTGATTCTGAACACACAGCAAGTCAAATATTTTCAAGAAACATTGTTGAAGTTGCTGAACGCCTAACAATCAGCCCCTACTAAGGCTTCGACCCTAAAAATAACATTAGTGTCACTGAGCAACAGTATCTAAAAATGTGTCTGCTCATGGAATCCAAAGTTTTCCTAATAATTCCTCTCTTCTTTAATTATATTTACCGTGACTGATAAAAAAAAAAAAAAAATACTTTGAATATATAAATAAATTGCTGAGGTGATGTATGACACATAGGGAAATGATCTGTATTTTTTCTTTCCAGTTGTAATAAAAAGGAAAAAAATATACGGCCGCCGAGGCTTCGCCAAGATAATCCTAATTTGTCATTTTGGCTATTAGACTCAGGTATTTCTCACACTTTACAGTTTTCCACATTTGTATACCACAGTAGTATTTTAAGTCTAAAAATCCTTAATCCATATTTTGAAAAATATCTGCTGAAAAAAATTTGTTTCCGTGAAAAAAACAACACTCATAATATTGTTTTTATTTCTTATCTCCTACTGAGCAGACGAAATTGTTTCAGACAAGTAGACACAAACTTTGTGTTGGACTGAAAATGACACTCTTTTATGAAATTAAATTGGATTAAATATTTTGCATTTATTTCTGTTCTTTTTTGTTGATTTAAATAATTGAGTTCAATTGAATTTAACTCTTTGCTCTGTTTAATTCATTATAAACGTCTGCAGCAGCACATAATACACTTAAGTCTTTGGATTTAACTTTTGTATTTGAAAACTATTTTTAGGCTACAGAGTCAAAGGAAACATGGTACGAAAATGTGCCATAGGTCAATAATAGGCTTCAGGTAACATATTCTAACATATAATGCATACTTAATGTTAAGATCTTAACCTGCTGGGTTTTTTCCTGCGGATCTCACCTAATCCCTGGTCTTTACCGTGCAGGATAATGAATCTGTTGGTGGTTTCCCAACAGATTAATTAGTAATAACATGCTTATCAAGCAGATAATTTAGGAATAACATTATAATCAAAGAGCTGAGCCGACCTCTAACCTGTTTTATCTGCTCCCCGCTGTGGCTGGACGAGCACAGACAAACAAACTAACTGCAGGACCTGGGTCACACAGCAGAGCTGATAGCACAGCAGGGTCACAGAGACTATCACTGAAAACGCCCTCCAGGAGGGACTCCATTTTTATATCAGAGCTGATTATTTATTCTGCGTAATATTCTTTAAACCTTTATTAGTTCACATTTCACCTTGGGCTTGTTGAAGAGAGGCCTGTGGGTGCAATTACAACTTGTTTTAGTCATTTACTGGAGCAAAGAAAGTTTCTGACATTCAGTTTTACAACAGATTTCCTTTGTTTCATGAGTTAAATAGTTTTTACAGGTCTGCAGCTTTTATCAGTTAACTGTTACAGTATCAGGGTATTAAAACCTCCAACATCAGGGCCGCTCTCGTTAAAAGATAAAGCTTGAAATGGACCTGAAACATCGTCATCTAGTCTTTGACGCTGTGAATGACAGCTGGAGTCTACAGAGACGATATTCTTATAGGAACATAACTACCATGTCAGGATGAAAATAAAATAATAAGAGGGAATGCACGTCTTAAAGTCATGGATTTACACGAATGTAAATATTTAAATCTTCGGGTATTTAAAAAACATTGAAATTCAGTCAGTTTTTGACAAAAAAAAAGACAAAAAGCTTTGGGGTATTTCCAGTTGAATACAAATTGACTGCATTGCTTGTCACCTCGGTGTTGGACTTCAAGGCAACTAAAGTATCGCCCTACACACACACACACACACACACACACACAGTGGAGTCAGACAGGGGTGAGTGGAAGATAAATGGAGATGTTTAATGAGTTTTCTTCCTTCTTTCCTCTCACCCAATGATCCACTGACGAAAGTGAGTGAAAGTGCTGCATTTTAATTAATGAAGCATGTATGTGAGAGTGAAAGATAGTGTGTGTGTGTGTGTGTGTGTGTGTGTGTGTGTGTCCGTGCATGTGGGTGATTTATGGGAGTGTGTGGTGCCCTTTAGGTCAGTCTAAGTCATGAGTCAGGTCTGGTCCAGGATGTCAGGCACAGATCTAGTCTCCTCTGAGCAAGAGTGTGTGTGTGTGTGTGTAGAGGGCCACATATCTGTGAGCCCTGGTATCACATTGTTTATTAATAAAACCAAATTAAAGATTTTTTTTCACTTAAGAAGAGACTGATGTCAGTCGCATCATCTCACTTGAGTGTCCATAGTTTTGCTTTAACAATTTCAAAGCAAAAATCCCCTAAATGTATAAGTGTGTATAAATTAACTACAGTATCCAGAAGTTGCATTACACCAGCGGCAACAACTACATATATTTATTATTTTTTTGCAAAATTAGGGAACCACCGTCTGATTTAACATAAAATGAGAAGGGGTAAAATATAATATTTTTAAAGGCTGTCAGGTAAATTATATCCTTTTATAGTTTGATTATTTTGTGTTGATGAGTCATTCAAGTTGGCTCCAAAACATTTGTGGAAACAATTCTTCACATTCTGCCTGTTAAAGCATTTTGTTTGTCCATAGTCTTAAATCATTAATAAGGATTTACTCCATAATCTGTAGCTGTCAGAGAAGAGGAGTGAAGGAATTTCTTAGGTCTAAATTGTTGCACATTCCTCAGTCTGTGAAGCAGCACCAAACTTTATCATGACTCTTTCATCTGATTAAAATCTCACATTTTCTGCTCTGCTCAGCAGCACTTGTACTGTAAAATATATTCATATATTTTTTCTCAGGTTTTTGTGGTAACTTGACCTGTTTTAAAAAACTGGATCGTTTATTAAAAAATGAGCAGAAAAAATGGTTCAAAGCAAATAATTACAGTGTTAAAAAAAAGGTGTAGCACACCATTTACAAGATTATAGGTACAAAGTGTCATGTCAATGTCAATGTAGCCGATGATCTAATTAGACAAGGAAGACATTAAGAACCAGTGATCTCCATCAGAGACCACGCGTGATGGATTTTATTTATAAGTCACCGTCCTACACTTTTGAATATTTTGTGACTGTGTGTGTTGTTCATTTCTGTGTTGCAGGCTACAGCACGGTTGCATTCGACGGAGCCAGTAATTACGGTCACACTCCCACACACCACAGCTCCCAGTTCTCCAACCATTCCTTCAAACATGAAGACGCTTTAACTCAGCAAAGCACCATGGGTAAGTGTGTTTATGTGTTTGAGTGCCGAACTTACTGTTCTTTGTTTTGTTTGTTTTCAGGAACAAATTTTTTGCTCCTCTACAGTAAATTTAAAATGTACAAGCCATCCTGCAACCTGGGGAACAGATAGAAAGGTTATAATGACTTCACTTTCTGCCTCTGAGTTCGGATAATTACTCTACCTAAACAAATCTTTGCATATATAGAAACACAATATCAAGCAACAATTTGGTTTCTGTTGGTTTCTGAGAAAGTAAACTTTATTTTGATTTAAAGGTCACAGTTGATAGGAATGGGTACTGTTAATATTAAAAATCAAGATCTAATCTACAATGTAATATATTCAAATATGTGATTTAAATTTAGTTTACTTACACTGTGTCATGTAACCTAAATTCCACATGAATTCGGCTGGCTGCTCTGCTAAGCCAGTTAGCTTTTTGTTCTCTATCATGATTGCATTAACCACTGCCTCATCAGTGATGTGAAATAATACACTGAAATTTAAAGGTTTATTGCAATGATCATTTTTCAATTATGGATCAGTGCTAGGGAAAATATAGCAATGATTAGCATTTAGCTCGTGATTTTCTCACCAGCTTGCCTGCTCTTAAAGTAGCTCTCTTTCTTTAGCTATCAAGTTAGTTGTTTCTGCAGTTCAGGGCAGCAGCTGTTTCTTTGTAGTTACTGCAGATTTCACAGAATGTACACATTTCTATGGCATAATCATTTTTGAAACTGTGAAAAAGATGTCAGAATATCACATTCAGATCAGTTTTAACTTATGTGCTGCATTTTGCCTTAAAGAGCAGTTCTGTTGCGTTTTAAGTGTCTCCTCACTCCAACTGTCACATAACTTGTAACAAGTCTTACAAACGGTCCTGACTGCAGCAGCTTTTAAATTCTCCCTGCACTGAACAGGAAAAGACTTTGTAGCCTGGTCTCGCTCCCATGGAGTCAAAAAAACGTCAGGCGGCAGTGGCCCTCGGCATCTGATACAGATGCAGGATGCACCCTTTAGCATCTGTAGGAGAGCAAGATACACACGCTTTCAACCATCTCCAGTGTAAACCTATCTGCATCATTGTCAGAGCAATGGATGTAGTATAAAAAGTGCAAAAGTCCACTTAGAATGGGTGGGTGTGGAGGCGGATGGGTCCAAAAAGCACAGGACTTAGACCTGGAGACTGGTGTTTGCGTCCCATATGAAACTAAAAGGCAACATTGAGTTAATTTGTCACGTCAGTCAGCCACCCATTAGTCAGTCATTAGTCATGTGATAGGTTAGTTAGTCAGTACTTAATGATATGAGTAAGTCAGCCTATGTGACGAATGTCAACTCTTTCCTAAGCCAGGCATCCACTAGACGAGAATCAGGCTGCTTTCAACCAGATTCCTCCTGCCGAAAATCATCAGCAAAGCCCCAATGTTTTTGTCAGTTGTGGAAAACCTTTTGCCAGATTTTCCTGTGGTGTGTGGTATATTAACAGTGCTTTTTAAAATCCCTCATCTGCTAGGAAGTGCACCCTGGCCGCACTGATTTCAAGTCACAAGTATTAAACATGTTCAGTATTTAGGATCGATTCTGGCAACAATTAAATCGTAGGCAACTGGACTTTGATTTTGTCTAGAAGACGTTTCGCCTCTTATCCAAGCGGCTTCATCTTCTAGACAAAATCAAAGTCCAGTTGCCTACGATTTAATTGTTGCCAGAATGGAATTGACCTGGATAAATGAGAATATCCACAGACCTATTTAGGATCTAATATTCTGATGNGGGGGGGGGGGGGGGGGGGGGGGGGGGGGGGGGGGTACACAAGGATCGCTGGCAGCCTTGCAGGTCTGAGAGAGTTTTAATGCAACATCACATGGGATCAAGTCAGAATTTACTCACCTCTAGCTCACACAGTAACTTGTCCAGTCCATGTTTCCAGTGACTCCTTGACTGTATTCATATTTGTACATTTTTTTATTCGTTAATTTTCTGTAAAAAGTGGTGCAAATCTAGAACTCAGTTCTTCCTGCCTGTCATCCATTATGTTAAGTAACATTTGATCAGTTTTGAGAGTCTGGTTGTCTGTAAATACAACCTGGTGTGCTGTTTTGGGCAAATCGTTGCTCTCCGTGCACTATAGGAACAGAACTGTTAAATTTAGTTTTCATGATGTGATGTGTTGGGTCTTTCATATTTGGAACATAAGTCAATGTTTGAAAAATCTTTTACTGTGTGCCAGGCTTAAACCTAACCACCAACCCCCTGTATTGAGATACAACACATTCAACTGCCCCCGACGTCACTATAATGACCTTTGCCGAAGTGTTAGAATATGACAAGCCGGGATGAGACGTTGGACTTTGAAACATTCCAGAATAATTTGAGTGTTTACTCTTATATTTCAGTTGTCGCTTTTCTTTAAACAACGACAGTGCACCAGACTCTTTTTCTATAGGAGCGTAAGTCAACCTCTGTGTATTTAAAGCCACTGTGTGAGTGCACACACAGCTGCGTCTGCATGGCAGCTCCATGGCCCTCACCTAGGGAGTGTCTTGTCCCTTATTCTGACATCTCCGCAGTGACCTCGCCTGTCAGAGGTATAAATCAGCCACATCCTGACTCACAAACTCCCTCGTCTTCCCCTCTCATCCCCTCTTTCATCCGCCCACCTTTCCCTTTAATCCCTCCTCGGCACATGTTATTGGTAAACATTTAGATGTGTTTGTTTTATGAAGTTGTAAATGGTTGTAAATTTCTGACGATTTTTACGGCAAAGATAACTGGAAGAATCAGAGCTGAGAGGGATTTTGGAATGTAGAGAGGTGTCGAGGGAGCCATTCACTACACTGCTGGTGAAGCTCAGAGAGAGAAACACGGAGCGAAGGCTCTTTATTTGTAGGAAAAGCTGACGAAAAATGGAGAGAAATAGGAGAGGGCAACAGAGGGCAGAGTTTAAAAAGAGACCAGATAAGGAGTAAGTTGCACAACAAGTCCTCTGAGTTAGTCATGGATGAGTGTACCTTCATCTTCAGCCTTATGGGTGCATACTGAGGTCCAAATGCATTCGCACATATTATAAACTATGTCTGTGTGTGTCCATGCACTGCAGCCGAGCAGCAGTATCCTGTACCTCCTCCTGTCTATGGATGCCACACACCTTCAGACACCTGTACGGGCAGCCAGGCGCTGCTGCTGAGGAACCCTTACAACAGGTAACACACACACATTTACACACACTCTAGGTACTGTACATGCATCGCACACATGCTCTCTATAAAATCTATTTTTATATGAAACAAACAGCAACAATTGAAGCTGGAAATGTTTCAGAAACCATTGTTGATTGTTCAGTCAGCAGTAACTCAGTGAAAGGTAGCAGGATGTGGACATGAACAGGATGTTCACCTTCAGGACAGGTCTGTCTGCCCTGGATGTTTCCTCACTGTTTCTTTTTTTTATTCTTCTTCCTCTGGGCGCTTTTCAACTGTTTTACTTGTTTTTATGCTAACTCCATAAGAGTTAGTATAAATGAGTATGTATCTTCATGCATAGATTGGTAGATGATTTACAGATACCTGTAAAAACCACGGTGCCACTGACGGAGGTAAACTAACCGTATCGGGAATTTCTGAAGGAACGTAGTTTGATTTATTGTTTGGAAAATATTTTAAAAAATCTCATAATCAAGGTGTTCTGCTTGTCATAGACAGAATTATGTGGGCCAGTTATTTTACTCCTTTCATTCAACACTGGTGTTTCCTCTGACATGATATTTACTAATATTTTTTCCAGCACAGCCGATGGGCCAGGAAAATTTTGCCTTTTGTTTTATAGTTTTGATCTTATAAACTCCGCCAGTCATCAACCTGGAGAGGATCAGGCCTTTGGTTGTGTGTCTGTGAGTGAGTGAGTGAGTGTGTTTCCATCTGTCCACAGCTAATCTCGCAAACTACCAGGCCAATCAACCTGATATTTTATGTGCACGTTTATGACTGTATGCTCCAGGGGCAAGTTTTCCAGACTTAAGCTCAGGTAAAAACAGCAAGCCTACTTTAGTCTGTTACAGGTCACATTTTGGCCTTCGTCATGTCTCAAAATTTGACATCCATAGGAAAGTCTGGTCTCATTTTGTACCTGAGGATCTGCAGATTAATTTCATATCCAATGTGTTATGATCCACTGAAGTTAGACACGTTATGGGATGAATTAGTCCCTGATTTTGTCATCTTCATTGCCATCTTGACTGCAAGGAAGCCTGGAGGGACAGTTTTATTCCTCCACACGGCTTCATAACACACCAGAAGTATTTCAGGAGCAGATCGTTTTCCGTGCCCGATTTTGTAGCTCTTAAGATTGTGTTGATTTGGTAATTTTCCTTGATATTTGTGCCTCTCCCATACCGTAAGTAAGTAAGAAGGCTATGCAGACAAATGCTATGTTTTTATGCTATGTCTGTTTTAAATGTATGTATTGTTGCTAATTCCTAATTAAGTTCTGTAGCCTACAGACAGAGTTAAAACCGTTGAAAGTCCAGTTATGAATAAAATGGATCAAAGATTTCAGGTCCTATTTTTGTTATATAAATATTTCATCCCCATAATTATACTGTATTTATATCCCACAAACAATGCCTGTTAGCCTGTATGCTATGCCATGCCCCATCAAAAACAGACAAGGCTTGTATTTTTATCAGCCCGCGGGACACCTCTAGGACGTGGTGCGAAGTGTTAACTGGAATTACAAGAATTGTCTAGAATGGCTGCCATCAGCCTGGGCAGTTAATACCACTGTAAGACAGTCCTTGATCATCTGTTGTGATAGTTTACGGGGATACCTACAGTGCATTATCAGATCATTTATCATGTTAATTAATTCAGATTGTTGCAGCTCTCAAAATTAAATCTCAAATATTTTCTAGTCAAAATAGAACAATTTCTTTTAGGCTATATATATTGTTTTTTTGTTTTTTTTTACTGATGTTTTAGATACTTGTATAAGAGCCGCAGTTATGTGACATAAAGCCATTCTTCAAAAAACTATCTGTAATCTACTGCAGTAGATGAATGACTGGATCACTACATTTCAGAAATGTTTTCACTCATCAAACTGCTGTCGACTGAGAGAAATCAAAGCCACAACCAACGCTTTTTAAAATTTACCACGCATTGATTCTGCTAATGGCTTGCTCTCTTCTTGTCCTTAATGTGAAGTGTGAAGAGGCTTTTAAATGTATTTGTCTTGCTTGGTCAGTGTTATTTGCAACGTTATATTGTAGGTCTTTTTCACCGCGGGCATTTTGACTTGTTATAGTAGCAAAAGCGCAGGTGTTACTCACAGACTGTAAATAAAGATGGGCGACGCATCTCCACTCGCTCCCACTGTACAAAAATGAAGCTAAAATATCTTGAATATGGCTGCTGCCATCTTGCGCTGGTGATGTCATTTGGAGCCAGAATGTGTGCAGCTGCGATCTCCGCTGTGTCAGGTTCCCACCCATACATCAGTCCGACCAATCATGAGCAGCGCCATTGATCGTGAGCACAGAGTTTTGCTCACACAGCTGTCAATCATGATGTCAAACCTACTATACTGCAGCCAGCCACCAGGGGGCGATTGAGATGTTTTGGCTTCACTTTTGGGGAGCTCTCATGTCATCCATCTTTATATATAGTCTATGATGGTACTATTGATATTTAGGGCCAGGACACATGTCGCACATTACACCACCTGTAAAGAGCGAGGTCAGGGGTCACAGGGTGCTACGTTGTGCCAGCTTTCAAGGGCGTGGAGGCAGTTTGCGCCTGACGTTGCTCAGCGATCATGACCAGTAGTATATCATAGCCTGCTTACCAGAAATCCCAAGTTCAGAGCTGAATTCCTTCCATGTGTTCCAAGTGTGTATCAGGTCCTCCATATTTATCATCATCTGCTGGCTGTGATTGGTTGTTTCTTGTCACATGACATGCGATGCATGCTGCTGCATTCCAAAAGTCTTACATTGTTTATCTCAGAGCACAGCTGTTGTCCTCTGAAAAATAAGAACTTGGGAATCCTTGCAAGCCACCGCGACGTTGCTCTTGCTTTTGAGTGCCACTTCCACGCATGTATATGGACAGCAATGGATTTGAAAGCGTAACAAACATAGCATGTGTACAGACCCTTACAGTGGCTACGTTCTATTCAAGTGACCCAGTGAGCCATGAGAGTGTTACAGTGAGCCAGCATGCACACCAACACCAGGACCCTGAAACTGAAGCAGTTGAATGGAACCCAGCCATCACTTATCTTACGATTCACACCTGTGCTTTTCAAACTGTGACAAAATGTCTTCCATGAAAAGCCTGTAAGATATTAAGGAAATGCAGAGAAAAATGCAAGTTTTTCAACCACCAAAAGTTTATTCTGATTCAGTGTCAACTTCTGTTCCTTCAGTCAGGTATTAACATAGAAACACACTTACCTCATATACCAAATATTAAATAAATAAATAATAAATAAATAAAGCCTTTACACACACAGATGCCTGAATTGTGAGTACCTAAAAAACTCCACATAATCTTGCCTAACCAAAACCGTTCATCTCAGCCAGTTCACCTCCGGCCACACCCTGCCTTAACCTTTTATTCCTCCCTACTGCTCCCACACACACCACGACCAAAAGCACATTTTTAAGAAAACATTTAACATCTTGACTATTTTGCCAAGAAGTACTCACATTCTTATTGAAAATACTTTAAATCATATTAGTAAGAAAACAAGGCGGGATACTAACCTTACTGCCAAATATTCAGCTGTGATAACATTTAATGCTCAACGAGCTTGTTAATGTGCACATATTTGCCATAATGATGACTATTTCACTCACAAGGAGGAAACTGCAGTAAAAAGGTTTTTATAAGCTTCTTCAAAATGTAATTAAGATAACATATAGAGAGGCACACCTCCTCACTGTATGCTCTCTAAACTGTTAGCTTGTTGTAATGTTTAAATCTAAAATTCCACACATAAAACTGACACACTGTATTCCAACGATGGCAGAACAGGAGGAATCCTCTGTAAATACCACAACAGGGAGTGCTACGGTTTCTGTGTGTGTGTGTGTGTGTGTGTGTGTGTGTGTGTGTCAGAGAGAGAGAGAGAGAAAGAGAGACAGACAGAGAGATGTGGGTTGGACATAGACAATCCTAAAAGTCTGAGAGTCTTCTTTGTCATAAACATAACTGTAACTGCTCAGCACACACACACACACACACACACACACACACACACTCACATGGCTGGGAAGTCTCATATGAGTTGAGTCGGTTGTCTAATCTTGCAGCCTGGTACCAACAGGACTGTATTTACTCTGCAGGCCGTCAGCTTGGCTCACTGGAACAACATGAAATGAAAACATGAGGTCTTATTAATACACACACACACACACACACAGAGCACCTACAACACTACAGAAACTGGCAAATTCATCACATGAGAGAAGGTTTTTAAAAGATGCAGTTTCAAAGTCCTTGAACTTTATGAAGGTGTAAAAATAGACGATAGACAATTCATCTATTTGAAACAATAGTTTGGGTTTTACTTGTAGAGGTTTTGAGATTTCTGTCTCCGGCACATTACAGTGGAGGCAAATGGAATACTGTCTCCTCTGTCCCAAAATGAAACAGTTGTCACTGGAAAAACTTTGTAACACAGAAAGACTCTCATATGAACACTAATGAAAAGACTAATCCAAAATAATGGGGACATTGTTTCTGATAGTAATATGTTGCTTTTGACGCTTTTAATGTCATTCTTTGCTACGCTAGGGGCATGGCTGTAGGGATGGTTAAGGTAGGAAAGCCACTGGAAGAAGGACCTTGAGCAGATATTCATGGTTCCCAGATGATGAATCCTAATGATGCTGACTTTTCACTAAGAGCTGCCATGAGGTTGATAGTTATGCTTTCAGTAAAATGTCTTGACAACCTTGATCACCGTGAACTTTGGTTGAAACCTTGTGAACCACTGCAACATAACTAGTTTTTAACTTTTTAAACCTTGACTTAGGCCCTGATCACACAGAAAGTGTTTTAGCAGCTGGAGGCACCTTTGTAATTGTTTTTAATAGAAATGAAGCTTTTTGTTCACAGTTTTTGCGTTGCGATGCGCCTTGCGTTTCTGTGCTCTGGGCACCTGGTGTTTTTGCCACAGTGCTCTGAGCTCCTTGAGTTGAAAAACCTTTAACGCAAAGCGGAAGAACACCCCACGTGATCTCTTTTTTTGTCATCTTTTTTCCCATTGTCCAGTAGGATGATTTGAGAGGTGACAAGTCTTCCGTGATGGTCACAACAGCAAGTTTGCAGTTGGTAAACAATGGAGGAAAAACGGGTGGTAGTGGTTGCCTGATACCCAGAGCTATATGGCCAGACGATAGACAGCAGATTGTCAAACTGTCCCAGAGTCATCCTAAAATATGCCTGGAAATGGCCTGAACATTTTAGGAGCTAGCTACTAATTACTGTGAAATAAATACATAAACGGTAGATTGATTACATTGGAAGGTTAGAATAAGGAGGTGAGTCAGTGGTTGCCTGGCAACAATAAAAAGCAAGCAGAGGCTACTTCAACTTCTTTTATACTGGTTGAGACATTTATATTGTCCAGTCCATGAATTACAACATCAGGTATTATATATATAATATTCAGGTCAGCACCATCTTCATTTTCATTTGTCCAATATTCTATGACCAAATACGTACCTACTAAACTAGAGACACCCCTGTCGGCCTCAGCTGTAATTTGTAAAACTTTGTACTTCTCAATAAGCAAAACTTTGCATGCTAAACTAAGCTGGTGAACATTGTAAACATTAAACCTGATTAACATCAGCATGTTAGCATTGTCACTGTGAGTATGTTAGCATGCTGACGTTCGCAAATTTCCATTGACCTCCAATGAACTGGGGCAGGGACAGCCATTTGAAAGGCTGATATTCCTAAAGTTGAGTTTAATTTTTTTTGTGTTTTGGTCTATGTACCTTTAGAAGTGGTATTCCCCTATTGCACTTCTCATATACTGCATGCTCGGGACATGATATCTTTTGTCCATAGAAATAGAATGAGAGTAGTACAGACATTGAACTGTTTGCCGTGGTCATTTGGCTGGTTCAAGAGAAAATGGCAGTTGCTGTTAGTTGTTTTGGTAAAAGCACATCAGTGGGGCCTCAACGTACATCACACTCACTAGTTTGATTGCAATGTTGTCTGTTTTTTTTTGTCACAGAGTAAAAGGCAGTCAGAGGAGATGGTCAGAGTTAACAAGTTGGTAATATTACAGTATCATTTAATTAATAGAATTTCATGACTAGCCAATAGAAATATGAAGCAGATAAATTGAATTGAAATCTTGAATTCCTCTCTAGCAGTAAGGCGACAGGGATAGTACACTAGCCCACTACAGTGGTCACAGTTCTTTGCAATGGCTGCTGTTCTGACCATCCTGCTATGCTGATTTGAATGGCAATGCCCATTTACTCTCATTCTATTTCTATGGTTTTTTTCATTAGATTTTCTGTTGATCATGTTTTCATAGTTGCGCTCTTTGTGGTCTATTATAGAAACTATCAGTCCTTATGGTAAATGACCTGTTTCTTCCTCTGTATTTTTTTTTAAAGTTATTTCTGTGGCAGGCTTCCTGTTAACCAGAGGGGTTTCCCAGGAGAGGCCTGCTGTAACACACATTGGCAGAAATGTAGGACAGAGAGCTCTGGATGTTGGCTGAATCAGTGATGGGTTCCATCAGTCAGCAATAGAGACAAAAAGCATACACGTATTTATTTGAAAATGTCGAATGTTTACTTTAAATCTTGTGCTCAGCCTCCATTCCACAATAATTGAGCAGAAATACCATGTGTGCTCTGCTGGCTGCATGCCCCTGCTGTACAGTAGAATAATAGCTGCGTAATGAGCAGGGTACCAGGCACCACATCTACCCCGAGCAGACTGCTGCAAGCCTGCAGGTGGTGTGATAGAGGGGCTGTGGCTGTGAGCTATAAATCCACTCAGTATGTGTGTGTGTGTGTGTGTGTGTGTGTGTTTAATCATATGGCAGGTCTGAATAATGATTGTGGAGTCTGCTGTGTTTAATGAAAGGTGCTGTTATGAGAGAATTTAGCTTTCCTGGTGTCTGTCTGAGACACATTTTTTAAATTCAGCTCCACCTGGGTGTGTGTGTGTGTGTGTGTGTGTGTGTGTGTGTGTGTGTGTGTGTGTGTGTGTGTGTGTGCATGATGGTATTTCTCATTAGAGTACTTCTATTGAAGACAACAAAAGGCAACACAGCCACGCAAATGGATACAAACACTCAACCCTGCTAAATGACGCTCCACTGCACAGCTCATGAGCTTTTCTTCTACGTCTGTCTTCCCTCCACAGCGGAGAAAATGTTTATCAAATGACCTCTCAGTTGGAGTGTGTGGCGTGGAACCCTGTCAGTACACTGGCATCCACCATAAAGAGGTAGGAACATTGTTCTCTTTAAATAGCAGCAGTCGTGACGTTTCTGTTGAATAAGACAATGGGAAACATCAACATACAAGTGATACAAGTTTGATACAAGTGAGTTTGAACAGGCTGATCTTTTTGGACCAGCAACTATTAGTTTGGTACATGAGATCATTCAGTGTTGATCCAAACCATGTTTCTGTAGAGTGTAGATAACCTGGTTTTGTTCAGCAGATAAATGAAAGAAATAAACAATGAAAGTGTAACTTCACTTTTTTAAAACCTGTCCACAGTGATTAGCAGCTTCATTAGTGATGAAAAATGAGAGTTTGTTTTATTAGTTATGAATCTGAATAGATTATGAATGAGGCCAGTGTTCATTGCATCTGACAATATAAGAGTTCAAAAGGTAAAAGTGTGTTCAGGCAAAAGAATAAGCAATTTTTAGGGTTGGAAGTAATTGCGAATAAAGTAAATGCAAGCTCATGCAAGTGGATCAAATTGACACAGCTGTGGTGAGCAGTGTGATACAGAAGTGCATTGCATTCACTGGATAAAAAAAAAATAGACACCATAGTGTAATTACGAGATAAGATAAAGAAAAAGAAAAAGTTCTTGTCGCCTGTAAATCCTCGCTAATCAGTGGGCAGTGATGGAGCTATCGCAGTTAATCTGCTATTACTACCTTCTCCCTAGTGATGTGCTGGATTTCGCTCTCTTTCTGCAGGAGCAGTTGAACCAGCATGGGATACTTCATGGAAATGCATCCAAGCTGGTTTGGTAGTGACTCAGAGAGCTGTGCGGCACATGCTAAAAATCCTAGGAGTACAGCTAGGGCAACGGAACAGTCTAGTTGTAAAGAAACCAAGTTGTTGATTTACCCATAGACATGAATTTACCTCTTCATAAAATAAGATAAGATATAAGATAAGATACAATAAAAACTTTATTAATCCCACACTTGGGAAATTCACATGTCATAGCAGCTCAAAGCACAGACAGAAAAGGGAGGGTGACAATGTAGCTAGAAAATTAAAGATTAAAAAATATAAAATGTGTATATAGTTACTGTACACACACACACGACTACAATATATACACAGTATAATATAGATATGGGATATAGACAAGATGGCACCGCCCGAGTGGCAGCTGGTTACAGTAGCTCCGACCCCCCTTCGTGGATGTGCAGTGTGGTTGTGAGTGAAGCAGTGGCCAGTGTGGCACCTTTCCTGATCTCGTAATTACGAGATAAGGTGTCTAATTTTTTTTTTATCCGATTCAATGTGCTTCTGTAGTGTGATGCCTCAACCTGAGTGAATAAAACAGTGATTATAGTGTAATGAATTCATCTTAACTACTAGGCAACCAGGATACTACAGCCACTTTGTTTTAAGATAATCTGTCATGAACCAAGGTGTCATTTAGAGGGACATGTTTTTGACATGTAATTGTCAGTGGTGTTACACAAAAGATCAAATGATCTTCTGGGGACCATGAAACCCTACACCAAATTCAGCAAATCTGGTTTGCAATTCACCAAATCACCAAAATAAATGTTGGCATTGAGCATTTCTACAAACCATGGATGTGTTACATTTGTATGTTATTAAGCAGCGGATTTAGTTCCTTTACGTTTCAATGATCCTGTGGTTAACGTGCAGTTAGGCTTAGGCACAAAAACACTTTAGGGTTGGGAAAATGTTTTGGTTTAAAATACCTGCTTTAGGTCACGATCTTGGCAAGAAACGCAGCGATGTCTAGATAAAAAACAACCGCTTTTCATGACACCATCTCTGTAGGAAATGCAGCAATATCTCAGTAAAAAACGACCACTTTTTCGTGGCACTATGCCTGGTGGAAACACAGGGATGGGTTGCTAAAAAAAACACCCGTGTTTGGTGCCTAAAAAGCCATTGGAAATACAGCAATGACTTGCTAAAAAACAACCACTATTGTTGTTTGTTGGTGTCAAACTGTTGTCTGCAGCTTTGCTGGCATCTCAGTAGCTGACATGCCAACCATCCCCTCCACCTCCCGATGACTAAGTCAACTCATATACTACGTCACCTTAGAAACCTTGATGAATCGTACATGAAACGTACAAATGTAACATATCCATGGTTTCACTGTAGCGTCAGCATCTCCTGTTCACACAGAGTTAAAAACATTCAGCAGTATGCACTGTACTTTATGTCATGATGACCTGCATAGCTGCACGCTGGTCAGCGTCTGTGTCGGCTCACAAATACCTTTCTACCCTGAGCCAACAGGCATTCATCATAGTTAACAGATGAATGAGTTTGTGTGTGCGTATGTGACTGAAAGAGACGTATATGTGCACAAAGGGGTGGTAGCAAGAAGGAATGTCTGTGAAGAAGTGAGTGTGTGCTTGTGTACAAGTGGTGTGTGAGGTTCATTAAATCAGGTATCAGAGCCTGATTGGTCTTGAGGACTATTTTTAAATGAGTGACAGGAGAGACCATTGTGTTTTCTTTGGCTGACAGGTCTCAGAAGAGGGTTATATCATTGTGTTTTAGTGGCCTTGCTCAGAAATGACTGTGTCTCTCTCTGTGACTCTTTGTGCTCAGTGTCAGCGAGGGGGAGCAGGAGAAGGGAGGGGAGGTGTGAGGGAGTAGTAAGGATGAGGAGGAAGAGAAAGAGAAGGGAGTCAGTAGAGGACAGGGAGATAAAGAAGGACGGGGCGAGGGGCAGGCAATGAGGAAGAGGAAGAGGAAGTGTAGGGGAGTTGAGCTCAGAGAGGAAGAGCAGATAGGCCCGTTCCCAATGTTCACGCGAAATACTGAAACACTGAACCACACGTCACCTGCTGAAGAGGAGTATCTGTGCACAGTAAAGCCTGAGACTACATGTTTCATATGTTTTCAACAAATACTTTTGTTCTTGTAACTCTGTATTTGTCCCACACAGTGAGTTATGGGTAAGATAGATATCATATTATATTCTTATTCATTAGATTCATAGATTCTCTTCCTGCGTTACTTTCCTGATAGCTTTATTGTAGCAGTGTGGACTTTGCTGCTGGGCCACACTCACATTAATTTTTGAAACTTTTTCTTAGTTAATACAGCAGGTTAGATGAGGGTTAACTCCTCAGCACCGCCACCTCCCACCTTCACTAATCAAATTAATGAAGTTGGAGTTAAAGGTGTTTCAGTCGAGAGTCAGAGATCCATGACTAAGGTGCCCCAACGTGTACATTACCTGCAACTACCAACTGAAATGCCAAAAAATGTAAATAATGACCATAAATAAAGGAGCATTTACTTTGATTAACACCGTGTCGACCGCTGACGTAGTCTCGATGCCTCTCCTCCTGTCCTTGGAAATGGCGAGGCAGACAAAGAGCACCTTATGTCCACTGGGCCATATACTGAACGTTCCCACTGCAGCAGCAGCACAGGATGCAAACTCCCATCCTCCTCGTTTGGTTAGACAGACTGAAATATGACACATTTCATAGACAAGAGCTTTCTCTTTCTCTGTATGTTATCATTAGAAGATACGAGAGGCAACACCAGCAGCTGTGTCACACAGAGCAGGTTTTGTTCTGCTCTTGAAGTATTAAAGCTGTTTGTGTCATTACTGTAAGCGTTTCTGTAAATGATGAAATGTCAAGTCTAATTGATCAATTATCTGAATAACAGGCAACTATTGTTTTTGTCGAAACAAATTTGATAATTATTTAATAAGCTATTCTAAAGTTCAGATGAATTAGATTAATCAATTATTAATTTTCAAATCTAAATGACAAATATTCCCTGGTTTCAGCTTCTCAAAGATGAGTTTTTACTGCTTTTCTCTGTTTTATATAATTGTAAATTTAATATCTTTCAATCATGGATGTATGTATAGGACTATACAGTGTAGGAGATGGGGCTCTGTTCATTTCTATAAAAGTTACTCAGTGGCGCATGAAGCCAAAAATAGTTTGACTTCCCAGGTACAAAATGACCCGCATCTTCCTCATGGTGTACCCCCAGGAAGCAGACACACTAAAGACTTCCCAATGCCAAGCCACTAACTTTCGGTTTAGCCCTAACTGAATAGGGATAAATGGGTTAATGGGCTAAACTGTTTGGATTTAGTTCAAAGCCTGGTGCTGTTCCTGGGGGCTTGCATTGAAAATATCAGCGTGGACTCTGGGAAATTGTGATGGATATTTTTAAGTAGATTCATTGCTTAAAAAAAAAAACAAAAGTCATAGGTAGCAGTAATGATAAAGCTTCAAATTCAGAAAATGAAATAGATGCGGCCAAATCAAAACTCTTTCAGGCTTTGCTAGCATGCTATCATGCACACAGTGACAAACTAACAGCAGGTATAGTGTTTATTATGTCCACCAAGTTAGATTAATGACCTTAAAGGGAAATTTCGGTTTATTTCAACTTGTCTCCTATCGTCCTAAATTTGTTTCAAGTGACTAGTGACATAAAAATAATAGTTAGCATGTTAGCCGTTAGCCTAGATACAGCCGGGGCGCATAGTAGCGTCAGACCTGTTAAAACGTAAGTGAATGGGCATACTTCAAGTGCAAAGTTAGTCCACTAAACAAGCTTTTTTTCCACAAAGACCGCCTCATATCGTTAGGATGAATGTCAGAGAACATAAAGAAAACGACAAATAAACGTGTTGTCTTACCTTACCGGTGTGGTGCCATGTTTGTTTACCATTTAGCTCTGCTTTCCAAAGCACGGCCGAAATATTGCGAGAACAAGCAGTGATCTCATACCGTGCCTGAAATCTCGCGAGAACAAGCAGCAACAGCTGGAAGGCAGAACCGGACAGTAGCCTGAAAGGTTCATTCATTTATTTTATGAAAGATTTATAGAATAATGGCTGACTTTTTGCCAGACTTCGACTTTGTGGAGGAGGAATTTGATTTTGCAGAGTTTGATGGCCGCCCTTATTTATTTGAGCCAGAATACACTGACGAAGAGCTTCGTGAAATTGAAGAACGGAGGAGGAGAGAGAGAGAGATAGAGAGGCGCAACAGGTAGAGGATGAGAGAGGAGGAATGGCTGCTGCAAGGCTGCGTAGCTCTGGAGATTGGTGGTGTACCTGTGGATGCTGTGCCCCAATGCACACAGAAGAGGAATGCCTCTGTTGCAAGGAATGGGACCGGTTGCAGCCTTATTTTCAAGGTCTGGATGTGACCGAGGACGAGACACCTCCATCTGGAGTAGTATCCAGCTTGGCTTTATCTAGAGCTCGCAAGATTTCAGGCCTGGTATGAGATCGCTGCTTGTTCTCGCAATATTTCGGCCGCGCTTTGGAAAGCAGAGCTAGAGGGATAAACAAACATGGCAGCACACTGGTAAGGTAAGACAACACGTTTACATGTCGTTTTCTCTATGTTCTCTGACATTTATCCTAATGATATGAGGCGGTCTTTGTGGAAAAAAAGCTTGTTTAGTGGACTAACTTTGCACTTGAAGGTTGCCCGTTCACTTACGTTTTAACAGGTCTGACACTACTATGCGCCCTGGCTGTATCTAGGCTAACGGCTAAAATGCTAACTATTATTTTTATGTCACTAGTCACTTGAAACAAATTTAGGACGATAGGAGACAGGTTGAAATAAACCGAAATTTCCCTTTAATAACCTCTAAGTTAGATCAATTAGCAAATGTTAGCATGCTAACATTTGCTAATTGGCATTGGACACAAAACAAAGTTAAGGCTGATATGACTTTTATTATTTTTGTAGTTATTTTGTCATTATTGAAAGTATTAGACAAATTCAAAGTTTGACCTGACGATCAGTGTTTGATGAAAAATTGACGGGTCATCAAAGTTGTTACGATGCATCTTCAGGGGAACCTGAATGTGTGTACCAATTTTTATAGCAACTAATCAATGCAATAGTTGTTGAGACATTTTGATCTGGACCAAAGCGGTGGACTGGCTGACTGACATGCTATCCCTAAAACCATGCTGCTCGCAAGGCTAAAAATATAATCTGAATAAATACTGCATAGAACCGCACAAAGTAGCCTACTGTAGAGTTCTGCATTCATCCTAGGCTACATGCTTCATTCACATAGAACGGTTCCTATGATATCCTACAAACGACGTCCTAACGAATGATGTTACATCCTTGATGCACTATTACGTAATTGACGTAAAGTTACAGAGGTTAGGTCAAGGCAAGTAAAGTTGCTGTGGGTAGGTTTAGGAAACATGACGAGGACGTACCTTAAAATAACTCAAAATTCACTCGGTTCCAAACACACGTCTCCAGGGAAAAGTCCTGGCACAAGGTACACGTTTTTGTGACCCATCAACCACCCCTACCTGCCCCCTTACACAACCGCCTGGAACTTGCTCACGTGATCTCAGCCTTTCGAAAATCCGTGGGATGTGTATGAATTTGGGCATGTTACTTTACATATGAAAACCTATGAACAGTTTGTGAGAACAGCCTGCATGGTTTCATGCGGTCAGTTTCTCTGATATCAGTTCTGTTTAAATATAAACACCTCTTCCTTTACATGGGCCAGCTGATTTTGTATCTGGGCTCATTGTGCCAAAGGTCAAAGTTGAACATCTAAGACCAGATGTTTTACACAACCCCCCCAACTGGTCTGTGTTTTGCATTACAGGCTGTATATGATGAGGTGAACATGTTTGAATAATGATACTTTAATGGCGCTACCTGCAGTCAAACAGAATTTTATGCTCTATATATCTGCCACTGTGTTACACTGTATGGATTTATAGCATTGAATCATGTTCTTGCATCTTGTTACATGATGTCTCGCTGCTTTATGTTCATCCTACTGTATGTGGCAGCTGTCTATGCACAAACCGTCTTTTTACCTGTGACTTTTTGTGATTGGAAAATAATTTAGTGGCACAGGATTTGCAATTCTGATATGTTGGAGCTGAAAATGTTTCAGCTGTCTACACTTGGATAGCTAGAGTTGCTGCGCAGCTGTATCTGAGACAGCTGGTCAACTGTGTAAAAGTGTTTAACTGAAGTCAATTTTCTGACTTTTACATAAATTGACTGTTGATTTAATTTTATTTTTCATCACTCCTCTCACTTTCTGTGTTGCCAGCCATACAGCAGGCTACGACAGCGACCCCAGCACCCCCATGTTGTACAGCTGCAGCACACAGTACCGCATACACACACATGGAGTCTTCAGGGGAATACAGGTAAGTCTCATACTGCATCTCTCCACATGTTACTACTTTATTTATTATCAAGAGGACATAGTGAGGTCCAACAGCTCCTCTGTCTTTATTGTACATGTTTTTTATACACACATTACTTTTACACACTCTGTAACGGTTACCCTGCATAAAAAAGACACACTGAAAACCCTACAGACACAAAAACACGTCAGTGACACAAAAGAAAGAGCATAATTTTAACATTTTTAAACGAGTGGACTGAAGGAGATGAGCAGTGGAGAGCCTGATGCAATGACCAGGCTATGTGAAGAGGAAATACTGATATGTAGCAGAGGAGAGATTTACAAACACACACACACACACGAATGCCTTCACGTGCGCGCACACACAAACATGTTGTGTCCACACATACACAGAGATTTTTAAAGGCAGCTCTAAAGGCCAAGAGGAATCTTTTTCCACAAATCCATTAGCAGTGGTGAAACAGACACACGTGCCTGTGCACACACACACACACACACACACACACACACACACACAGTTACACTGTGTAAAGATACAGTTTCCATACGAGGATCAGCATGTTAATAAATCATTAGATTTTAATTATTGTCTGTCAGCAGCTCTAAAGGACGGGGAGCAGAGATTCTCCAGACCTGCTCTTAGTCCACAGCAGGACTTTTTAAAATATTTCTTTCTTTCTTTCTTTCCTTTTGGGGCCTGTTTCATCATTCACCATGCTCCTTTTCTTCCTTTGCTCTTTTTTTTTCTTCTGTTCATAGAAATGGATTGTACAACACACACATAAGAGGTCTGGCTCAGTGCAAAAGAATAAACCAACTCTCACTCTCATGCCTTTTAAAGTATAATTTAGGAGCTGCTAAAACACAAGATAACAGATCGGGTAGCAAAGTGATGCTTTGCTCGGTAATTTTTATTACAGGGATTACACTAATTCTCAGTCACTGCCAAAGGAAATACAGATGACAGCCATGGAATTTCATTCTTCATTAATACGGGTTTATGACGAGCAACAAATATTACACAGCTTGTTAAAAACTAAGTACTATGATCAAGAATCACGTAGCAAATTACTGAATCATGGTTAATTCTATCACTCTATCAATCAGGCAGCTTTGCTGATCTGTGACTAGCAACACCAGACTGTAATCCTGATTACTGTAGTAAGAAATGCTGCGTTAGTTGTCAGTTATTTTAGTATGGAGCCCCAACGTGTTCGATAATAAACAAATAACTAAGTAACTGTGAAACAAATAATCCCATGAATAAATTATGAAGAAGAACCAACAATTCGTGAAATAATTCAACATAATATTAAACTCAACACATTATTTTGACATGCTTTACATTCCATCATTGTTATTTTCATGAGAATTTTCACTTTCATTTAGGAAAAAAAATATTGCAAAATGCCCCCTCTCAATTTCTTTTTAATTGTTTATTTTTATTTAACAATGGAGATGTTACCAATTTCTCTTCGTGACAGTGGCTATCACCACCCCAACACCTTTCAGCCAATCACATGCCCCCAGCCTCTCTGACAGCTGTGCTAGGCAGAAATCTCCCTTCTGTCTTAAGCCCCTCCCATCAGACAACCAAGGGCACCTGCACAAGCTTCAAACATTAACCCATTGTTTCCCATAAATTGATTTATTTAATCTTATTTCATTAGAGTTGCAATGCATTCACTCAGCCCGTCCTTGCCCTGCTCTCTGTCTCTCTGTTTATCAAACCACAAATGAGACCCCACGGTCCCTCCGCCTCACTTCCCTCCGCTGTAGGCTACTTCGCCAGGAGGAGACAGACCTTCAATCAGTGACTGTAGGGGTCTGTATATGAAAACCTCCAGTGCCTGAAGTCACAGCTGGCTGGTGGCCAGCAGCAGTGCCAGGTATAACCTGTGTCACAGCAGCAACAGAAAGACTGTTGATTTGGCAAGGAGTTGGAGCTGTCTGGTCCCCTGGCAGTGGTTGGATACAGGGTGCTGCAGCCGCTGACTGGGGGTTGTCCTCTGGAGCTGCTTCTTGCTCTCCTCCAGCGAGGTGGTCTGCAATGGTGAGGAGTCAGGCAGAGGACACACTATGATTCAAGGGTCTAATTAATGTTAACTACTACTACTGTAAGGCTAAACTATTTCTCTCCATTTCTGAAACGCTTTGCCAATATTGACACAGTTGTTTTGTTTCATTTATTGTCAGACTGTCTTATAGACAGACTTTTTAGGTTGCTTTGCAGTGTAAGCAGCTGTTGCCAATGTTGGAATAATATTTTTGTCTGCAGGATTATTTGCCATTGAACCAGGAAGGTGCGCACATGCATGCACAGACTAGCCAATAGGAACAGCCTCTCTCTGAAATGACTTGTGATTGGCCTGAAGTTGGAAGTCTCCCATCATGGGCTAGATTTTCTAAATCCTGAAAATAGAGCCAAGAGGAGTTTTCTGTCAGTCCACTTGAATTACAATATGCTTAAAGTTTATTATGGGATTTTTGCCCAATGATGCCAAAATGAAACTGCCTACCCCAGCTTTAGGCAAGTTCAACATCCATCCATGAGGACCACTTATCCTCTTGAGGGTCATGGAGGGGCTGGAGCCTATCCCAGCTGACATTGGGCAAGAGGCAGGGTACACCCTGGACATGTCGCCAATCTATTGCTATTATGTTGAGACAGACAACCATTCACACTCACATTCACACCTGCGGGTAATTTAGAGTCACCAATTAACCTGCATGTCTTTGGACTGTGGGAGGAAGCCGGAGTACCCGGAGAAAACCCACGCTGACACGGGGAGAACATGCAAACTCCGCACAGAAGGGCTCTCTCCTGGGATTAAACCCTCTTGCTGTGAGGCGACAGTGCTAACCACTACACCACCGTGCTGCCCACAAGCTCAACAACTGCTACCAAATTTAGGCAGTTAGCACCCGTTAGCTAGAGCAGCTAGAAGCTGCTGTTGTGAATAAAAACAATACATAGACGCAGTCAACCTCTGCTCTTATTTTGCCAAAATTTTCTATCTATATAGTAAATGCAGGTTTATATTTTCACACCTGCTTTTACTATATAGATAGAAAATTTTGGTTTTGTCTCTACAACCATGTGTTACTTGTTGTAATTCTTCTCCTGCAGGGTGAGCAGTGAGCAGCAGGGCTGTCATGGGGCGCTGTGGAAGTGGGTCTGTTTAAAAGGCGTGACTAACAGCTCCCTTTGGGCTGCAGTCAGTCTGGGGTCACTTTACTGCTAATTCCCATCTAATGAATATATGAGCATTTTATTATAATGATCCCCATGAGCCAGACACATCACATGCACTTATTTACACACAGGACAGATTTAATTGCCTGTTTTCTAAATTACATTTTACCGGTTCAATTATTAATGTCCAGGGAGAGTTTTTTTTTATTTTTTTATTTTGCCTCGAGTGGTTTGGATTTAAATTATATGTGTGTGTGTGTGTGTGTGTGTGTCTGTGTGTGTTTGTGTGAGTGCAGGATGTGCGGCGGGTGCCCAGCATTGCTCCAGCCATAGTGCGGTCAGAGAGCAGTGAGAAGCGTCCGTTCATGTGCGCCTACCCAGGATGCAACAAACGTTACTTCAAGCTGTCTCATCTGCAGATGCACAGTCGCAAACACACAGGTGAAACCAACAGAAAATGTGCTGTGATATTTCACTAAGCCTGTTACATAACTGCTGACAGCTGTATTGTTTGTGCCAGTGGTTCCAAACACACCTCCCAAAGGCACCCTTACTGTCAACGTGATCTTCACACTAAGGTTTTCTGTTTGCCTTCTTAAAAAGCTTGAAAGTGATATTTCCACTGGCCCCAGTTTTCTTATCTGCTATTGCCAGAAAATACTTACTGGATCGTGAGCATGATTTATTGGTCAACTGTCAAAATTAAGAGCAACTGTTAGCAGCAGCAGTTTCACAGCTCTGTGAAGAGCTAAGTATTTCCTCCCAGGCTCTACCTAACAGGAGTTAGCTAACACTTGGTCGGACCACAACTTGAAGACATTCAGGTAACACAGAATTCTGAGAAAACCAGCAAATGAAAAGATTTAATAAAATAATTCAGAATTGTTGCAATTTAAAGCTACAGTTTCTCTCAACTTTTATAGAACAACTTTTTGTCATACTTGTTGAAACTGTCTGTAATCTGACAGTAGTACATCAGACGGATAATCGTTGAAAAAATTGAGTTACTTTGGCTCCTCCCAGTGCTTCTAAAGGCATTTGCAAGAATACACTTCACCTGAACTTAGTCAGCCCAGTGAATTAAGTTACTTCTTTCTCAGACTACAGCTGCTGCGAAAGGCAGCAAAACATCCTCTCATTTTATAGTTATAGTTTACTAAGACTTACCATGGTATGAATAAAGGTTACCTAAGCTTCAAAACCAGCCACAACTCAGCCCTGAACAAGAGTAACTGTTCACTACTGACCAATCAACAGACTGCAGTGTTCACAGCTCCACCTTTTAGTACCAGACCTGTGTGCTAGGTACTCCAACAGAATAAGTGACCAAAAATGGAGACAGTTAGGAACAGTTCTTTTGGTATCATCCACAACTTTTCATAGTGGAAACGGAAAAAAGGTGTACTGAACTGTACCGTATCGTACTGCTTGGTGAAAACGGGGCTTAACACGATGTCTATCACTGCTTGTGCACTCACTGCACAGCCCTCTTCTGTTTACTTGTCTTAACCGTGCACACTGCAATGCAGCGAATGCACTAGCAGTGATTTACACTGTGTTAGAGACCCCACCTGGCTCTGATTGGTTGTTTCCATTCTTGCAAAGCCATTAGGAGCACTAGGAGAAGCCAGAGAAACCAGATTATATGTCTCATGTACTACTGTCAGGATATAGAGTTTCAGCAAATATGAGAAAGTTATTTTATAAAAGTTACCTACTGTAGCTTTAAGTTTCTGTCAATTAGCTTATCAATTAATCGCCTAATTGTTTCAGCTCTACATATATTGCTATTGTACATGAACAGCCACAAGGAGAACAGCAGACGTGTTATTGTCAACAAAATTTAACAAGGAGACATTTAAACCAAATTTTTGCTTTGGGTGTGTGTGTAATCTTTGACGTCCAAGGGGATAAAAAAAAGTGATCAAATAATTTAAAATTTAACTGTATTTCACTGTCTTCTCTCTCATCTTTGTACAGGGGAGAAACCCTACCAGTGTGAGTTCGCAGACTGTGGCCGCAGGTTTTCTCGCTCTGACCAGCTGAAAAGACACCAGAGGAGACACACAGGTTTGATCTGTTTTACTCAATCTGTCTCTGTCTTTATGTTGTTTTTCCTTTCAGTTGGTTGTATTTGCTCTCTCCACTTGCTCTCCTCTGCTGTTTGCATGACAGCCATTTTGTGGACAATGCAGTCTTTGGATATGCACAGTTTGCATTTTGTGTACACTGAACGCTAAAGTTGCTAAAGGCTGGTCAAACTTTGGAATGGCTTCCCTGCAAACCTCTGCTCTACTGTATTTTTCTATCTCCCTCTGTGTGTGTGTGTGTGTGTGTGCGTGTGCGTGATGTTGAACATGTGTTTTCTGTATGTGTGTGTCTGTGCGTGTGAACTTGGGCTTGTTTGTATGCTGTGTGTGTGTGTGTGTGTGTGTGTGTGTGCATGCATATTGTACATGTCTTTAGGAGTTAAACCCTTCGAATGCGAGACGTGTCAGAGAAAGTTCTCTCGGTCTGACCACCTTAAGACACACACCCGGACTCATACAGGTAAAACAAGTGCGTAAACTTTTATTTTTCCATTTCTTCTTCATCCATTCAATGTTCATATAAAGTAACGTAATGTAATGTAACAACATATTTAGGAATGTCAGCATGTATTTATACTTACTTGACTTGTGCAGTTATTTACAGTACTACATAAAGTCCATTTAATCTTCCCATTCAGACTGTGATCAGCATAATATTCTAATATTTCTCTCGTTTTCTTCTTTCTTTTCACTTGATTTCATTGTTATTCCATCCGGCTTGCATCCTTTCTAAATCCTTCCTCTCCTCCACCTCTTGTCATTACCATCCTCTCCACATCTTCTTCAATCCACCCTCTGTCTCTCCCAACCTGTCCATCCATCCCACCTCTCTCTCAGGCGAGAAGCCATTCAACTGCCGGTGGCCCAACTGTCAGAAGAAGTTCGCCCGGAGCGATGAGTTGGTGCGACACCACAACATGCACCAAAGGAACCTCACCAAGCTCCAGCTGGCCATCTGAGTCTTCTCTCAGCCTGTATCATGGTTTAACATGTAAACATCTGGCTTACATCTGCTTATATATTCTGTCTCCGGTTAATCCAGACCTGGTGACCCTCTTTGCAGCCAAGAAACTAGCCTATGTGGGAACCAGGAGAGTCCTAATGGGTTCCTTAAAATGTTAATAGTAGTTGTACATCTGTTTGACTTTAAGAAGTAGACACCACAGTCTACCCTCCGAGCCAGAAGAGTCTTGACGCATTCAGAATTGTGTTTTTATTCCTTAAGTTGTCAGGTTTAAAGGATAAGACTGGTGATATTCTAAATTTATTCTATTGCCAACAAAGCCCATTAAAAGACCAAAACCAAGAATATGTTACGGCGTTTTCAAACCAACATTAAAACTGCACGAAAACCACAGCCTCCTCAATCAGCTGAATGGGACTACTCTGTTGACACGTCAGAGGTTTGTCTGGCAAAAAAATTTGAACTCAGTGCAACTTCAGTTGGTGAGATGCTGTTTTGGCCAATCATGTACTTGCAAGCACGCTGCATTTCCACTATTTACCGGCAGGTAATGTAAAATAAGTTGTAAAATCCTTCTTTGTATCAGTATAAGCTGCTGTGCAGTGTTTTAGTGTCTGATAAACACCAACAATCACATCACCTGTTGCTCACTAGCAAGTCATCACTGCTCTTCCAGCTACGTTTATTAGCCCCAGACACCAGTGTTTAAGATCAAAACATGATCTTCTCTTAACCATAAACAAGTGGGGTTTTTTTGTGCCTAAACAGAACCAAAACTTAACTACAACATTTTTCCAGATTATGTGAATTGATTTCTCAAATTGAAAAATTGAAATAAATTATATTAAAAGGATATAAAACATTAAAGCCCAAGAGCTTATTTCCATTGTGATCCTTAGGAACGTAAACGGCCATTTAATAAGGTCATTGTGACATTCTGACCATACAAGTTGGTGCAGCAGGAGCCTTCTAACTTACAAGGCTGATAACCACTGCTAACACCTAGTTACTGGAGTAGCGACAGATCAGTGACTGACTTTCTGAATGGTATTTATGAAGCCTGTATCTGCAAAAGCAAAAATAAAACCAAAAAAATTAATTAAAATAAAATAACATTCAAAATGCATGGCATATTCAGCTGCGTATATGCTGCAGTATGACTTAAATTAAATTATAATGCTCATGTTCATTGGAAGGAAAGATCATGTCACCCAGTGCAACAGCGTTTCACAGGTCTATGGCATTGATCCCATCACAATACTTGCTAGTAAGATCAATTCATTGTTGGTTTTGGTCTTATAATTAAAATACAGAATATCACCAGACTTATCCTTAAAAGAAACCTCTCCTTATTTTCAATGATCATTTCATGCAGTCAGTCAGTAAAATGGAAAGTAGCATTTAATTTGAGTTTCTGTTTACCAGTACATTTTCCACAGGCAAGAAATGCTGTGTAATTTAGATGTAAATATGAAAATGTTCACACTACAGTACATTTACTTTACAGAAGGTTCCCACTGCTCAGCGTGAATGCTGGTGTCTTTAACGAGCGTCGAGACACCCTGGTCAAAAAATGTTTCCATAACAATAATGTAGTGTTTCAATCATCCCCAGTAACTGACTATTTTCTTGCCACCCTGTGTACAGTGAGGTCGAAGGTTGCGGTCAGCTACATATATGCCCTGACAACTTAAAGCCTTTTCAGCTGTAAATATCTTTTATGTTGAACTTCTTTGGGAGGTTTATTTATTATCTCTTTGTGGTCAAACATTGCTTTCACTGGAATGCTTTAGAAGGAGTGAGGTGTCATTTTGCTGTGCTCATGCACATGCTGTCCTCTTTGCCGTCTCTTATAGTTTTCACAGTAAAATAATGCTGGGTTTGATTTAAAGGATCAAGTGAAGTGATTAATTTGCATCTAACACCCTCTGAAGTGTTTGCAATGTAAGCTTTAGGTGTTTTGTCTGGTTAGCATAATATATACATTGCAAACACATATGCCTTTATGGTTGTATTTTAAAAGCTGAACTTTTTGTTTTTGAGTAATGTGAGGGTTGGATTTTTTTGTAAGTGCTCAGCGCTCTTAGAGCTAAATTGTCTGAGTCTTTTGTCTTTGCGGTGTGTAAATATTGCTGGACTCTGGCAGTGTTTTAGACACTGCGAGCTCTAAAATATGTCTTTTGGGTCACACTGGCTCTGTGGCCGGGACATTATGGTCAAGATGTAAATAATACTTCTTCACCATGGGAACTGAACTCTTTCCATGGGGGAAAATATGTAACTTAACTGATATATTTTAGACTTGTCTTTGGATGGATCCAGGAAGTGTTTATACTTTAATTTTTCTTTCTTTCATGTGTATTAATATTTGTGTCATAAAACAGCAAATGTCATTGAAACATTTTGTACTGAGATAATTGAAAATGATGGTTTCTCTCTGTTTAAATGTATTGTGACTGTTTTGATACAGTACCAGTTTGCCTCTGTGGTCTTTATTTATTCTTTTAAAAGTTTCTTAATATTAAGTCGGCATTTATTTATTATTCTGTAATATATCATGGCCGTCGTAAAAACCCACAAGCAGGTCACATAGTTTAATCTGTCCAAAGTACTAAAATGTCAACTCCTCCTCACACACAGAGAGACAGTAAGGAAACACTGTTGACGTCATTATATGTAATTCCATCGTTTTGAGGATTAAATTATATTTTTGGAATTTTATGCCCCTGACCTGAAGTCACAGTATCTTAAAAAAGAAATACAGAAAGGAAAGCAAAGAGAGAGAAAAAGAAATATGTGCAAATACTAAATCTATACATCAGCTGACCTTGACCGAGGTATCACCCTGTAACACACAGCAGAAGGTTTTTCCCTCCAGTACAGTAGGGGAGAGCGGAGTCCATTGGGACACTTTTGTATCGACATGAAAAAAAAAACATCCATTGCTCACAGACTACTGAAACAGTAGTTTTTAGAGCCAAACATGAAAGGAACAATTTTGAGTGCACTTTCCCAAAATTCCTCCTCCCTGTGATGATTGGGACGGTGGGTAGGGTAGGGTTCTAAATTTGAAGACCATGTAGTTAGGATCGCACTTGTTCATACATTTCTTTAGGGAAAAAGAAAACATTTTAAAATGATTATATTTCATAAATTACTGAGATAGGGAACTTCCATCTTCTGGATCTTCATTATAGTGGCACCTATCAGCTCAGTGTGGTTATCATAAGGTACATGTAGTCTGTAGGCTTATGTACAAAAGGTAGGCTAAATAGTTCAACTCTGCACATTCAAAATATGTAAGGGTTTTATATTTCGGCCTATATTAAGTTTATGAAGTTTACATGACCAATTCATTTAGCTCAGCAAATCTGCTAATAGCTTTGAATCACAGTGTGTCTTATCAAACTCGGAAAAACGTTTGTCTTGTTTTGTCCTACTAAGGTAGAAACTATACTTAAAACTGTCCTTACCGTCCCAAGCAGTGACGGACTCGGGATGTTTGAAGGACAGGGGCAAAAAGGAAAAAAGGGCACCTACTGCATGATATGGGGACAAGAGGGCAGCCAAAAGGGCACATCCACTCGTTTTCATCATTCAAGAGGGCAGCTGGTAGGGCACATCCTCTCATTTTTGCCACTGAAGAGCAGGGGTGGGAATCTCTAGGCACCTCACGATTCGATTCAATTCCAATTCTGAGGGCAACGATTTCAATTATAAAACGATTCTCGATTCTAAAACAAGCCAATAAGAAAATTTACACTAGATACTGAAAAACATTTTTGTAGTAAAGCTGGGAATACTCCAGTGCATACAAACTGTATTACTTACTGTGGTTGAGATGACTACATGCCACCAGTCTCCTCCGGTCCATCCTCCTCATCCACAAATCTAAAGGGAACTCTCCTGTCCCTCGTCGACCTCCTCGACATTTCTCCTCCAGTATTTACAAAACTATAACTGACTATAACTATCTATGAACATAAAAAAACGAACTATTGTAAAAAAGACGAACAATGGCAAAACTACGAACTATGGTGAAAACACGACGAAAACACGTCAAAAAACACTCAAAAACATGGCATAAAAAACTCAAAAGCTCTCAAAAAACCACAAATACTATTATTTACAACACTAAATATTATTTACAAAGAAAACACCGCCCAAACTCCACTAAAACTCACCAAAACTCTGCTAAAACACCGCTAAATCACTCCAACCTGTACTCTCCTTGTCAGCTGTCACTCTCCTCCTGCTGTGCCCACTTCCCTCCCCTCCTCCACAGGTAATGACATCACTACTGTAATGTATGTATATCACTGGAAAGCTCCGCTTCTCAACTTTCAGAATCCGTTGGAATTACGTCGATAGCGTGAATGGTTGAGGAGTTACAGTAATTTGAAAAATAAATATAAAATTAAAATCGATTATGAGTTTTCTAAATAGATGCTCGCATCGTTCAAGACAGAATCTCGATGCATCTAAAAATCGATTTTTTTCCCCCACTCCTACTCAAGAGGGCACTTTAGCGCAGCGTTTTCAACTGAGGCGGCACTGGGGGTGGTCCCAAGCATGGATGATATATACAGATGGACGACACGTCTCTACCTACCCCCACTGAAAAGAAGCAAAGCTAAAATTTCCTGGATACAGCCACTGCCATCTTACTCTGGTGAAGTCATTCTGAGCCAGAGTCTGTGCAGTTGCGTTCTTTGCGGTATCAAGTTTCACGCCCATGCACCCATCCAACCAGTTGCAAGCAACGCCACTGAATGCAAGCCCATTTGGCTCACACAGTTGTCAGTCATGTTGTAAAATCCTCATTTTATAGCATTGAATAGCTTATTAAAACCAAACTTTTCCCATTTCCCAACCACTAACATAGAGAGGGCGGGCTTTATGACCTATACTGCAGCCAGCCACCAGGGGGCGATCAAGATGTCACAGCTTCACTTTTGGGAAGCTGTCATGTCATCCATCTTTATATACAGTCTATGGTCCCAAGGAGAGCAGACACACTTTGGACTCCCGAGCTATCCACCGACAAAAATTCAGACAGCTCACACTTGCATTAACTCATAGGTCAGAAAATCACCTTTCTGTCAATATTTTTATGTTTGGTAGAAGAAAAATTAGAGCCAAAAATTTACTTCAAACACTGTTGATTTCAAAACAGAACAAAATGCAAGGAATAATCAGAAGGTCTCCTTTTAGAGGTTCTAAAGTGAAGAGGGTGTGGCTGAGTATGAGCATGGTGAATGGCATCAGCATAGTTGTTTTCTAACTTGTGAAAAAGGCACTGTCCCCACCGACCCCGCTCTCCCCTATATCCTGCCCACTGTGCTTACAACCAGGCTTTTTCATTTAAAATTCAAACATTTTTAGAGAGCAGGTTTGTGAGTGACAAGACAAAGGGGGATAATTAAAAAAAAAAAAAAACCTCGACTGTGTACTCCAGTGGATACAAACAGTTGCACAATCAGCTCTCTCTCTCACACTCACACACACACACACACACACACACACACAGAGTATAGTACAGTACCATCCACTTTCCTCTCTTTATCTCTCACCAGATTCCTCATTGCATTCCTTGGCTCTCCTCTCAGTGAAAAAAGAGTCAGTAAATGCAGATAAAAATGAATGTTTTCTTTCAGACTCTCAACTTTCTTTTACACTTTTCACTCTCTTTCACATTCTCATGCTGTTTCTTCTTTTTTCTTCTCATCCTTCCTTGTCCAACATTAGCTACTTCTTCTTTTTTTCCCCAAATGCACTGTTTTATTTATGTCACTCTTATGACCTTTAGTTTCTCAATAACTGATGACAATACTTTTTGGGGAGGAAATTTCATCAGTAAGATGACAGTCAACAACTCTCACATATATGAAAACAATAACTCACAACACAAAATGTTCTGGACCAACAGCCACTGCAGTATTTATGAAGAGAGAGCGAGAGAAAGCAGCAGAGCAGAAAACAGAGACAAAGACAGATGGAGGCAGAGATGGATAAAGACAGATACAGCAATGTTTCTTTTGTGAACTTTTATCATAAGTTTAGCCAAAGTGTTAGTGTAAATCAGACAACGTGTCCGATTCCCTCTGTGGAAATCCCCTGAAATTCCCCAGGGCTCTTGTGCTATATCTCAGCTGCTGGACAAGGCCTATATCTCTCATCTCTCTCTGCTGCGTGTGTGTGTGTGTGTGTTTCGGTGTTTCATCTCTGTCCCAGCCTCATGCCGCCGAGGGCCTTTGAAGTACGAGAGCTGGTCAGTGTAACTGTAGTTTTGTCCACTTTCAGTAGTCACATTAGAGGCTGTATCTAAATGTTCTACTTAGAGCAGATATAGAAAACATAGATTAGGCCTCTTGAAAAAAATTTGGAGGGAAAAAAAATCACATACAAGTAAATCCTGAGGGCGCCAAGTGCAGTATATCAACCCTTTTTGGTGCTCAGCCAATCAGAACATTTCTGTAGTTATTTTAACCTGCAAGCAACTAGTTCAGCCTGGTCTCAGTCACAGCTGTGTAGCTGCTATGGAAGATGCTACTTATGTAGCCTGTTTGCTAAAAAGAACGCCCCAAAGAAATGTTTAAACAGCTATGATAGATATTTTTGTGAAAGAGGTTGCTCTAATAATGAATCTGAATAGAGCTGAGTCCCAAATCTGCAGCTCCCCTCAGCTTTATGGAGCATTTCAGCGACTTTCAGGTCATTGTTTAGCAACTTATTTTTTTGGTTCACTCTCATTGCTCTCATTGTGGCCTTTTTCAGACATGGTAAACTCTAATGGTAATGATAATGATAATTTTGCTCCGTGTCTGCTGGACATGTCAGCAGGCAGCTTTTGCTAACTTTGTACCATAGACTGAAAATCTCCCCCTAGTGGCCACAAATAGGTCTATGCAGCTTTAATATACCTCTGGTTTTGATGGTGTCTGTGCTACCATGAAACGTCAGTCAAAAGCCAAGCCCCAATTAAAAGCTGATTTCCTTTCATTAGCTGGGTCAACACATTCTCACTCTGACCTCGTCATACATGGACATTTGGTCATGGACTACCATGGTACCCTGGGTGCATTTGTTGTTGACGTTATCGGGCACTGTGCACAGGAAATGTACAGTTTGCGTATACCCTCTTACAAAATAAACCTACTATGTCAGAACAACATCACGTATTGACATTTTTCCTTCAACGATACACACGTGGTTTGGTTTATGCTACCCACCCTACTTGGACTTTTTACCCCCTGAACCTAGAGTTTTTTTTCTAGCTGCGTTTCTCCCTGACACTGCCAGAGGAGCTCCTGGACCTCAATGTTTTCCTAATTTGTGGACATTTTCAGGTGCTGTTCTTCTTCTTTTAATTAGCTGCTAACTGCTACCAGCTGCTTTTTAACTCTCCGGTGATAGGTCGCACACAGAACACGTTGTCAAAACATCACATCTGCACCACTAACGATCCTGTCCTACTGGC